GAATTTTCCAGTGAAGAAAATAATCTTTGTAGCAATTCAAAACAAAGGAATACTGTATGTGTGGTCTGATTAGCTGAGTTTCTTGTAGCCAGTTATATAACTTGCACTGCTTTTCAAATGATGGCCAGAAGCTATAGAACCTTGAAACTAGTTCTGAGCACCACAGATGCATTGGTTTAGTTATTGGACTTCAGATTTATTTCCCTTAGATAGCTTACTTCCTCCTGCATTTGAACCTGAACCTGAAAGAGGAGTTTCAAAAACCAGTTTGAGATGTATGCCATCTCTTTAAAGGAAGCTGTGGAGCTAAATATTTCATTTGACAGGTACAGTAGCTTTTGAATAGTGGCCAGCAGGCATATATTTATAATAACACCTTCTAGAAGTTGTGCTTTCGTATCAACATACCCCTTCTCTCACCAAAATGTAAGACATTTAATTTTGAGAAATACATGTGTGATTTTCCTGAGCTGAAATGTGTTTTGAAGCCTGCTTGGTTTGGATCCCATGTGAGCATTAGAAGAAGTGATTGTGGCCATTGATATGTTGTATTCCAACAACAAGTGACTCTGCTTACAGGCCATATAGGCGTCTCTAGGGAAAGTGCATCACTCCCCCCCCCCTTTCTTGTATAGGTCTTTAAAAAGTCTGATTCAGACAGTGTTGAGTTTGACTTGGCACTTAGGTGTTTATTTTTTTTCATGTTCATTTCCTCTTTCATTATTATAAAAACAGCAGAGACCAAAAATGTATATTTTGACAAAAATAAACTTCCCCTTTAGCGTGCCACAGCTGGGCATCTCAACCAAAGTACTAGCTGGGAGATCTACATTTATTTGTACACCTGATACAATAACTTACTGCCTGCCTTTAGTGGAAAAATCCTATCCCTCCCGGAACATGTTTTAATTAAAACACTTCATTGAAGAAAGATGATTGGTTCAACCAACGTAAATGCACACAATGGAAATACAATAAGTTGCTTATACCAGGACTCTCGCCGTTTTAGTTTTGAGTACGGACCATTAAAAACATAAAAGCATGAAGAAATGCAAAAACAGGGTCGTAAAAAACAGGGTCGTAAAAATTGTGCTGTGTTTAAGATTTGAGACCCTCTGTGATTGCAAGGCCCAGGCCACATAGCTCCCCTCACTCCCCCCAGGATAAGCCCTAGCTTACCCATGGCCCATAGGAATCTGTTTGGTTCAGCCATCTATTCTGTGGGTTATATAAAGAAATGCAAGGTCATTCAGCTAAGGACAGGACGGTTGAATGCACAGTTCAGTAACAGAACACAGTGAGTGATGGCTAAACCATTACGACTTTCCATGTCCTTAACAGTTTTTCTGTAATTTTGGATTGTTGTATCTTTGTAGAGTGAACAATTTTGTACATTTTGGCATGTAGTCATCATGCCCATATATATTACTTTGATATAAAGGTCTAAAACCTACAGGTGTTTAAAAAAAATATTTCCCCCCAGAAAGAAGAGCTAGGTTAAACAAGAATGGAGAAGGGGAGGAAAACTTGGCACTGCAACAAGACTGCAATGTGATGGAACAAATCCAGCTAAAGTTGGACTATTTGTATTGGCACCCCTCCCTCAGAACCAACCAGTCCACTCACCAGTTGCTGTGCAGCGCACACAGCCTTCATCTGCATCATCATGCCAATTGTGGAAGTAGCCCAGCCAGCACTTCTCCACACAGCAAACTGCTCAACAGCTGAGTGGGGAGACTCTTCATCCCAGCTCCTCAGAGTGGCCAGCTGCCTGGGGAGGTAGGGAAGCGCTGGCCAGGCTGCTTCTACAGTTGGTGCAATGATGCATGGCTGCACGTGCTGCATGGCAGCCAGTGAGTGGACCAGCCGGTTTGGGGGAGAGATGCTGGATATCCGTGGCACCTGCAGTGCTCATACTCGTATTCATATTTCCGAGACTATGAATGCAAATAGTCCAACTCTAGATCCAACACACAAGTTCCCATGTGCTTTCAAAACCAAAACAATCCTCCATTATCCACCTTGTTAATATGCCTTATATCAGGGATCTCCAAACTTTTCACACAGAGGGCCACATAATATATTTTTGATATTTTCAAGTGCGGAAGGAAAACACATGCATACACACACATGTGCTTCCACACACCCACCTGCACTCCCACCCATGCACCTGCCCACACGCACTTCCACTCACATGCACACACACATCCATGCATGCATGGACAGGCTGGATAAAAAAGCCAGCCAGGCAGGATGTGGCCCACGGGCCATACTTTGGAGACCCCTGCCGTAATATGTAATAGAAGTATCCATGAGATAGCAAGGTTTTAGGTATTGGGGTTAGAAATAAAAGAATGTTTAACATATGCTAAAAGTATTTTCATACTACAAATAGCATTCATTAAAAGGTGTACTTGCTATATTTATATTATTTTAAGAAAGCAAAATAAAAATATTTTAAATAAATAATCTTGCAAACCTTTTAGTTCTCTGAAATGCTGGAAATCTTGGCAGTTAAAGTCCACTCTAGCCTTAGAATTCCTGCTTCTGTCTTTACAGGATGTGTTAATAGATGTTAATGCCCAGATTCCCAAAGACCAACTTCCCCTGATCCTGTTCTTGTTCCCTGGTATCTACTCCATCTTTGTAAAGAAGAGGGGGCTATATAACTTCGGGTGTATTTTGGTATGCAGAACCTAAAGAGGTGTGAAATCACATGAACATAATTGATCCTATTAAATAGTAATGGCCATTAATATTCTTACAGTGTTGTTTACCTCTTGATGTCTATCTGACAGTGTTCCAAGTGATGAGCATTCCAAAACGCTCCAAACCAAATTACAAGTTTCCAATATCTTGTTAGAAGCTGTATGTCTTTGAAGTACACCCTATGTTGTCTTTCATGCCTGAATTCCTAATCTGTTCCTGGGATGCAAGCCCATTAAAACAAGGCTTCACCTGCTTCCTGGTACCCATACCAATTTAGACATAGTCAAAAGCATTATGCTGGGTCAGGATGGTTGTGAAATTGGTTGTACATTTTAATAAGCTATTTGCCAAGTCACATCTCCCAGATCTGAACGTAATTTATGGTTTCAAATGTGCATGTTTTCAAAATTGCAGTGTGTGTTGTTGAATTTCAACTCTCGGTAGCTCTGGATGACTTGGCCAATAGTCAGAAATTGTGGACACTAAAGTCCAACACCATTTGTAGCTCCCTCAAATGAGAACAGTTGCTTAAACTGAGAAGCACCACTTCAAATGGGAAGATTGTTTCCCCAGAAAGCTTATATGCATTTGTGAGGTATATTCCATTCCATTGTGATACGGAGCCAAGCTGGACTGAGTTTGGTGTTAGAAGAACAAAGAATTTCGGAAGACTGCACTTGAGAGATCTGCACATTTCTGAGCTAGAGATATGAATTTAGAACTGTGAACTGGGCACTTGGGAGGAGGAGGTCCCCAACCCCTGCTCCTCAAAGCAACTGCAGTAGCCCCACCCAGTGCTATACAGAGGGGGTGGAGGACCCTACTGTGTGGAAGAGGCTGTGGCACAGGTAGTACTGTCCCCGAGAGAGGCAGTGATGAGGAGGAAATGCTACTTCTAGCACCTCAGTGGGATGTAACTACATCTGGATCCAATCCTTTAGGTCACCTGACTACAAGAGTTTTCCCAGTAATTACAAATGAAGGAAAACCAGGCCAACTAAAGCGAAGCAACATACTGTATGTATATCAGAGGCTTCTGATAAAACGGAAAAAAGCCACCACATGGAGGTGCTGCCTGGTACACCAGTGTTAACCCCGTTTCTCTCAGAATTTGAAATGGTGGTTTCAAGTGGACTGGCAAACTTATTTAAGAGGCTGCCTGTGTGTATGTGACTTATGGTTAAACTGGCAAAGGGAGGGCAGTATTGCTTCCAAGGGAGAAGAGAAAATGGGTCTCTGGATTTACAAACGATGGTTTGCAGGGAGCTACTGTTTATGGCCACAATGGACCACAACTGCTGACTGGCTTAGAAGGGGACGCCTGAGCAAAGAACATGCAGCAGATTAATAGTTTGATTATTGGTTCTGATTTGAAATGAGTGAATGATCTGAAGGCAGAACAAAATGCCTGACTTGGCCAGGACCAGCAGCGTCCTGCAATATCAACATGAGTCTTTGCCAAAATGAGGACAAGCCTAGTCCCCATTTCCCTTATACTCCCTCCCGCTTTTTTACGGCTGCTTGTTACATATCCTTACTGTGGCTACTGAAAGTCTGCCTTCTCAGTTACTCTTGGTCTCCTCTTAATGTGCACCTCACACAGCGTCTTATTAATATTTATTGCAACTTTAAAAAATAAAATTAAAAAGCTTGCCACGTGGTCCTGAAAATGACTGCTGCAGTTTATCTGGAACATAATACTGTAGCAGGGTAGCACACAATGCCATTTATCCTCACACCTGGGGGAATGAATTTCACAGCTGTAATTGCTACAATATAATTCTTATTAATGTTGTGCTATAATTCCTATTAATTCCAGAGGGCTAGTAAATGTATTAAGACTTGTCAACATATTATTTTACACTGTTTATGATCAAGAGAATTATGCCCTTTAAGTGTTTTTACTATGTAAAGGAAAAGCCTTAAAAATCTGCTTTGGTTTTGACACACTGGGAAAGGGGGAGAAAGATTCCATTCGACCCTGCTCCGTTCTTTTCCTCCTTGTCCAACAATAAAAATAGCTCTTTAAAATCAATGTTTAGAATGAAGCTATAGCGAAGTGCTTACATAATATATTAGTAGCCGTTGTTTAACAAAGGAAGCATTACAAACTATAGGAAGTCCCAGCTTTCATGAGAAACCTTTTTATAATGAGAAATACCCCTATTTGAGAAACATATTTAAAATGGAAGTAGATGAGCGAGCGATTGGTGGTGATGGCAAGATACTGATAAATGAGATGTGCTGTGATACTTTACTAGTTTATTTTTGTTTGTTTTGACTACTGTCAGGTAGTGAATATGATGAGGAGGAAGTGGACTATGAGGATTCAGATAGCGATGAGTCCTGGACTACAGAAAGTGCCATCAGCTCTGAAGCGATCCTTAGCTCCATGTGTATGAATGGTGGAGATGAAAAACCTTTTGCTTGTCCGGTCCCTGGCTGTAAAAAACGATATAAGGTAAGTTTTTCCCGGAATGAAACAACTTGGCATCTTTGAAAGTAGGTATCTTCTTTTTCCCTAAATGCCATGGTGCCACAAAAGCCATAGTCTCTTCCAACTTGGCACCATCCAGAGGTGTGGATTGTGACTTCTACCATCCACAGCCAGCACAGCAATGGTAATAGATTATAGGAGTATAAAATCCAACATGCGGATATACTGTAGTATACTAGAATTTCTTGCAGAACCTGAGGCCATGCCTATATTTGTTACTCTTTCTTAGCATTTCCTCAAGATTGCTCCTTCTCCTGAGAGACACTGCACTGAGAACTCACTTTCTCAGAAAATCTGGAAGGGAGCATAGATAACTTTTGTTCTCTCTCTCTCTCTCTCTCTCTCTCTCTCTCTCTCTCTCGTCCTTCGGGTGCTATCAAGCAAGATAGGCCAAGACATAGTGTCCTTACTGTGCATCGTGACTGAATGGGAACCTGACTCTACAGTATTTGTTTCCATTTGTAGTCCAGCACTTTGACCACCAGACATACTGGCATGATAAGCATAAAGCCATTCAGATGTTTATTTATGTTGCTGGACTGCAGTTCCCAGAATCCTTCACAATTGGCTGTGCTGGATAGAGCTGATGGGAGTCACTGCCACAGTTGGCTACTTCTAAGTTATACAGTGGTGCCTTGCTAGACAGTTACCCCGCATGACAGTTTTTTCGCTAGATATTTACTTTTTGCAATCGCTATAGTGATTCGCAAAACAGTGATTCCTGTGGGGGAATTTTGCTGGACAATGTTTGGTCCCTGCTTCGCAAACCGATTTTCGCTAGACAATGATTTTGACAGCTCCCTCCGCGCTCGCAAAACAGGTGTTTTCGGGACCTAAGCTTCACAAGACAGCGATTTAAACAGCGATTTAAGATGGCAGTTCTCAAAGCGGCTTTCCTATGACCCATCTTCGCTAGACAATGACGATTCTTCTCCATTGGAACTTAATAAACAGGTTTCAATGCATTCCAATGGGGAAATGCTTTTCGCTAGACAATGATTTCGCTAAACAGCGATTTCAGTCGAACGGATTAGTGAGGCACCACTGTTCTGATTGACAGCAGAAATGGAAGTACTTTACTGAAACATACAATTCAGTGTTGAGAGATAAAGGAGCAATCTCTTTCCCCTTTACAGAGACTTTTCATTTGCTGTAATATTTGGTGGCATTTCTGACTAGAGATGAAGATGCTTGCATGAACCTTTGGCCATACATCCCACATGTCCCTGCCATTTCTAAACGTTAGAATTTCAAGCTGTCCTATGTTTAGGTTTGTAGCCCGAGATCTCTTCCTTAAATGGTTAATAACTAGTCGTAACTACACTCACACTGTGAAAAATCAAAGAGTTCCTGCCAAACCTCTTGATATATAACAGCTGAAGTCTATCCTGCTTCCCCCACAGAATGTGAATGGTATAAAATACCATGCCAAAAATGGCCACAGAACACAGATACGTGTGCGGAAGCCGTTCAAATGCCGTTGTGGGAAGAGTTACAAAACAGCTCAGGGTCTGCGGCACCATACAATCAATTTTCACCCACCCGTGTCTGCTGAGATTATCAGGAAGATGCAGCAATAACATGCTGGTCACAAACGTGCCAAGGGATCCTCACCAGCAGCTGCTGATTTGAAGACAGCCACCTTCTCTGGGGAAGCACTGAGCAACCCTTGAAAGAATTTAAATGCATGCTTTACAATTTTTTCTGTAATTTTGGAATGATGTATCTTTGTAGAGTTAACAATTTTGTACATTTGCACATGTAATCATCATGCCCATATACATTACTTTGATATAAAGGTGCTAAAAGCTACAGGTGTTTTTTTAAAGAATTTTTTCCCCAGAAAGAAAAATTAGGGGATGGTGTATATTTAGTTCTGCAGTGTTAAACAAGAACAGAGAAGGGGAGGAAAGCTTGGCACTGCAACAAGATTGTAATGTGATTGAAGAGATTCAACACATCAATTCCCATGTGCTTGCAAAACCAAAACAATCCCCCATTATCCACCTGGTTAATATGCCTTATATAATAGAGTTATCTGTGGGATAGCAAGGTTTTAGGTATTGGAGTTATAAATAAGAGAATGTTTAACATATGCTAAAAGTATTTTCATACTCAAAATAACATACATTAAAAGGTGTGCTTGCTGTATTTTATATTATCTTGCAAACTTTTTAGTTCCCTGAAATGCTGGAAATCTTTGCATTTAAACTAGTAAATCCACTCTAGTATTAGAATTCCTGCTTCTGTCTGTACAGAATGTGTCCTATAGATGTCAATGCCCAGATTCCCAAGGACCATGTTATTGTTCCCTGCTATCTACTACTAAGAAGTCACTTGGAAATGAAGTGCAAATTTTGAGAGGGAGAAATTATCTTCATTTTAGATGAAGATCTTAAAGCACTTTGTAGTTCTTGATTGCCAACCAATTTAAAGGTTTTGTGTTGCCAACAGTTGCAAGTACTGTACTAGTATGGACTAGTATTGACCAGTGGTTGCAAATAAAAAATAATCTAGGCATGGTTTAAGAAGGTACATTATTAGTTAAGGAAGTTTCAGTTCCATTTACATTGTACCTTCCTCATAGGCATCCTTCAGTCTCGAGAGACTATGGTAACGTGCTCTGTATGGAGGACTTCGACGCTATATGCGAAGCTGGAGCGTCCTCTCCAGAGCACGAAGCCTGGGTAAAATAACCTTCAGATTTTTGTATATATAATATATATTTTATAATTTACTGTGGGCTGTTGCATTCCACGTTTAGCATTGTTTTTTTCTGTAATATGAAACATCTTGAGCCTTACTGAAATGAAGTGCTTCTTGAAGCAAGTACTCAAAGATAGTCCTGAGACCAGAGCTGTCAAGAGTTACTTGTGTCTGGACCATACTTGTATGCTTTGTTTATTTTATGCTATCCAGCCTTCAGCATTCTCCCCTTACGTAAGTGCTAGTGAAGGTTAACATTTTTAGTATGCAAAAGCTACATTAATAAAAATTGGGAGGTTGTCTCTCTCATGAGAAAAAGTTGAGTTTTACAATTAATCCTCTTCTGTGTATTTTGTACTTATATATAAATGATATGGGAAATGTGAGTCTTATTCGTTTAGAACATGTAAAGTCTGAGAGGGCAAAGAGTCATTAACTAGGTAAAAAATTGCTCTTAACTGCTAAATCTCTCATAATGAGGGTTGAAGATTTAAAATAAAGCCTCTTTTAAACAAATCCCCCTAAATGCGCCTTCATAAAGATACATTTTTGTAGCACAAGTGATAATATACCTATAAGGATGATCCAGACATAAGAATCTATTGCTTGTACTCAAAGCTGTTACCAAGCAAACATTCTAACTTGATAATTAAACCTGCTCTCCATGCAAGAAACCGAGATAAGACTAAACAAAGTATTGTTGCATGTCAATTCTTTCCACTATTACAATCCAGTTGCTATTTACCTAGTCATTGTGACAGTATTAGACAGGGAAAATGGGACTATTTTGTTATACTGTGTATAGTGAATGTATTGTACTGTGTCTGTGAAAATGTGCTTTAAATTATATTTTCCTATATTTCGTTGGGGACAAAGTTCATGAAGTTGGGAAGCCACAAGAGGTTTGTTTTAGAACTGAACACCACAAAGTGCATCAACATTTTCTTTCAATTAAAGCTGCTTATAAATGTAAATTGAATCAAATTTAATAAATTGCCTCTGACCCAAAAGAAAACTGGATACTGCTTCTTAATGTCACTTCTCAACTACTATATAAAGCACATGCTGTGGATGATGCAGTACATCAGATGTTCAGCATAACAAGACTGGCAGCCTTTGAAGAGCATTTAGCATCTAACAGTGGTTTGCGCTAACAGTGATGACAACCATTGGGAGGGCAGGCTTTCAAAGATCTCTAGGTCAGACCAGTAATCTGTAACATCAGAATTTGAAATACAGAGTCTATGGCTGAAATCATATTTTGCAAAATTACCTAAGGCTGATGACATTGTCAGCTGCAGCAATTTTTTCATAAACATTTCCGATTCCCTCCAAAGGTGATGAGACTCCCATAGAATCCCTTATGCTGTGGAGAAACTATTGGGGGGGACTACAGGACTGGAGTGGGGGGAGTCTTTAACTTCCTGAAATAACCACTAATGGTAAAATCAATAGTGATTTGGAGTAATTAAAGACTTTCTCCTCCTGTTTCTGAGCCTTCAGCAGATCTAGACAATGAAAGGGATTCCATAGGAACCTCAAGACCTTCAGGGCAAGAAATAGAATTGCTTTATTTCTGAAAAGTCAACGCAGCTGATGGCATTATCAGTCTAATGAGGTGAGTGAGGTTGCTGGATTTAGCCTATAACTTTAAAGTAAACACAATGCACTTCTGCTGAGCTAGAAGCAGAGTCCAACTTGCTACTATATAGCATTATGAGGAAACTAGAAGACAGTAATCCTTTTTTAAACCTTGTAAACAGAACATTGAAATGAATAAAAATTTGTTGAAGACTATTTAAAAAAAACGGTGTGGTTAAGAACCACCTAATTAAAACTCTTTCAAAGTAACCTGGTGCACATGTAACGGCTGTGGGTTTATATATTATCATACTTTCTTCTGGCCCTTGCCAGAGTTTACTGTTAATATGCACCACCACCAAATGTCTTACCTTAATAGGAGAGAAGCTAGGGCTACCAAGGTATGGCCTACTCTTTCACACTTACACGTTGTCCAATGGAACATGACATGTTTCCCCTCACCATTGGGTCATGGCCTGTGGCAGAATACATATACACAGCTCCCTACATGCAGGCATACTGCAACACTGATACCTGTACAATAGTAAACAAGCTACATTTTCTTTATAAACAAAAATAGCTGAAACAAAGGAAAAATCCAGCAAAAAAAAATTTCTTTGGCCGAGCCAATGTAATCTATCAGACATCCCCCTGCCAAAAGAATCCAGGTTTTTGTTTGTTTTTAAGGAATGCAGAACAAACCATTGGACCAAGCAGCGGTGCTTCCTGGGCACCGCAATTCTTTTGAAGTGTCTCTAGAAGGCCTAAAGGGCAGTGAGATTATGACGCCCAGGCACCACAACAGCTTCCTTTTTTGTGTGTTAGCAACAGGAAGCAATGCTTAAGACAGCCATGCAGGTTCAGAGACAGATGCCCTGGTCCAGGTGAGTGAAATGTAGGTGTGGGTCTGTGGACAGCAATTCCCAGAACTCCTGAGGAACTATTGGTGAATTATGAGTTAGAACCTCCATCCCTTCAAAAAACCACCCCAACCTTCAATCCCTTGATACTGCCATAACAACAGAAAATATGGTTTTTACCATGGGGATGAGGGCTAACTGTGGCTAAGGGAGAGATCACATTGGATGACTATAATACTTTCGTTACTCATAGAGATTATTCCATGTGAGAAAAACAGATCAGTGTACAGTGGGGTCTTGACTTAAGAACGGCTTGAGTTAAGAACATTTTGACTTAAGAACCACTCTCATAGGAAAATATTGACTTGACTTACATACTTAGATTTGAGTTAAGAACTAAAAAAAACCACGTGGGAGGCAGGGAAAGTGCAAAATTTGAACTTTCAGTTAACTGTTGGCCAGTGAAAAGGGTGCCTGTCCGCTTCGTCACTCCTCCCAGTGTTTAGAGTGGATTGGGAGACAGTCTTCGGACTGCCTGGTACTGTACTGCCTGGACTGTATTTTCCCTGCCTTCCCTGAACCTTTCTTGACCTAAGAAAAAAAGAAACAAAATATCCCCCTCTAGTGGTCGAAGGCAGAATAGCAGCTTCCCATTAGTTTCTATGGACGGAAAAGACTACCATAACAACAGAAAATACAGTTTTTACCATGGGGATGAGGGCTAACTGTGGCTAAGGGAGAGATCACATTGGATGACTATAATACTTTCGTTACTCATAGAGATTATTGCATGTGAGAAAAACAGATCAGTGTAGCACCAAAGTATTACATAGCCTCCATAGGAATAAACTGAAGTTGGCAAGAATGGCTTGGATCCAAAAGTCCTATTGTGAGAGGCAAAGATACATATGACAAGGGTACATTGCCTATTTCCCCACCTATTGATACTGTCCCTCTGATTCAGAAAAGCTACTTTGGAGGTTCACGGCCCCTATTTTGAAACACATGCAGAACACATGCAAATAACAAAAGACACAACAGACATTTGGTTTTTGTCTTTAATTTGACTATTGTACAACAGATGAAAAGTGATTAATTTTATTCCAAAAGGATCAAACTGCTTACTAAAGATTAAGCAACTCTTTAAAAATATAGTGTTTTAGATATACACCACAAACATAATGGGAACATGTGCAAAGTAGAATGCAGAAGATTCCAGAAACCTTTAGTCCCTATAAACACAACTGGCTAAAGAACCCAGAAAGGGGGAGTGGGGTTCATTTTTAACAACGTGTTAAAAATCTGCTGAGCATGAAAGAAGCCCATTTTTATGCAGTAATTTTCTAATAGCTCTAACTGCAGAATTTTTTAATAGATTACTCGTGTACATGACATTTCCAAGAAGCAATAATAGGTATGTAAAAATGAGCATTACCATAAGAATGTTTTGCAAGCATGTAATCCTAACATAGCTACATTTCTGAAATAGATGTAAAAATTATACTTTTGTTGGATTAATTATGTAGCTTTCAGAATCAACAATGATATGAAGGATACACACAACTCTGAGAAATCTCATTTTATTATGGAATGAGAATTTCAGTATCTAATCATACGTTAGCACAAACAAGAGCAAAATCATGTCATTTGGTAAACTTGGTACTATCACAATCTGGAATGCTAAGGTTTCTGAACAGGTTTGTGCACTTCCTGTGTTTCTATGCATTTTGTTAGCCAGGGCATAAATCTTGGTAACTATTATAACAGCTTTCAGCATATGCTGCAACAACAAAGCCTAACCCAATTTTTGCTAACAGGCAAAGGTTTACTTTGAATCAACTGCAATGCAGAGCACTCTGCCTATAAATAACATGTTTGCATCAAATTAAGAAAGCTGCATTTTCCCATCTTACAGAGCTCATTAAAGTTTTCTGTAGGCTAAACTGCATTAAGATGCCCAGATCTAGTCAAAATTCAAAACATTCTGATCGAAGTGTGTTTGAACATGTCTTTCAAAGTTTTGCTGGTCATAGTCAGGAGGAAACTGTTCACAACACATTGGACACACCTTCCAGTGACTTTCAACATGTTCTTCAAACTTGCTCTGATCGTAGTTAGGAGGAAACTTCACTTCACAAAGGGGACATTTCTTGATGGGCACAAAACTTGAAACAGAAAAAGAAAAGGAACAACCCTTGAAGAAAGCAGTTGAATTCAAATTGCAGCCTGATCTGTCTCTGCTAATATGTAATAAGTATGACAGCAGACAGAGATAATCTTGAAAGTTCCGAGTCCAATGTTTGCAATCAGGAACTAAACACCTTTATACATTATTGAATCCCAACTATATTTAGCATTAATATAGTTAAGTCCCTTGTTCTCTTACATACTTCAGTATTTTCACATGTATTGGGAAAAGACTGAAGAAGAAAACATTACTGAATGATGTCTACACTCAGGGATATTACTTTTTGTTCTAATTTAATTTAATCCTTCCTATTTTCTCCCCACCCCCTTTCAGGTTCTGAGGCTCTCTAGGGTTCCTTTTGCCCTGAGGAAATGTCTGAGAGTTTCAGGCCAGGGATGGGGAGCCTTTTGTATCAGAAAATTGCTGCTGGATCACTGTTGGTGGGACAGCTGGTGACCATTTTCTCCCCATTGGTCCTGAGGCTCCCAAACCATTCTCCAGGGAAAAGGAATCCACAGGGAGCCTCACAAACTGAAAGAGGATAACAAGAAGTTTAAAATTAAATCAAAATAAAGAGTAAAGTTGCTGGGTGATACTGTAATCATCACTGTGCAATATAAAGTTGTGCAACACAATTTCAGCTATTATCTTTTATTTTTTAAATCTGAGATGTTTTCCCTCTGCTGCACTGCAATATACACAGCTCCCAACTAAGAAAAAGAAAAGGGGTTGTAACCTTTTCTCAATGACATGTCAATTTAGCCATCACTCAATGGACCCTAACCATCAGTGAGACTGACTGACTCAAAGTCCTTCAAAGGGTGTGCATTAACCAGGCCCACTGAGGGGAATTTGGCCTCTCTGCTGCATCATATTAGCAAAGATAGCATTTCTTTCACGTTCGCATCTATAGTTAGCTAACAAAACATTTGCTTGACTAAATGGTTCTAGACACATTTTGGAGCAAACCCCCACACACCCAAAAGAATTGTGGTGAAACCTGTAAAATATGGGAGAAGGGAGTTGAATCAGCAATAATGTAGCAGTCTGTATTCAGTATAGGCTTCCAGCACAAGGCAACACACTGTTAATAGCTACTGCAACACCAGATGATGATAAATGAGAATTTAACTTCTTCCAGGTAAACAAGTTGTGATTTAAAGTTGCTTGAAATCCTAGCACAGAACTTGGGCTACCTCAACTGAGTTTTTGACTTTTGGGTCAATAGCTAAGCCCTGCACTATTTCATAATAGCTTAGAATTTCAAAATAAAGGACATGACATTACCACCTTCTTGATGTTGCTTTTGCTCTCCTACCTGGAATCAAAACAAAATCCAGCTCCACGTTCATGCAAGTGGACGTTTGGTGGATCAGGAGCAGAAGGTGCAGTTGCTTCATCATCCTGCAAACAAAGTTCCTAATTTTTATCACAGTTTTTTTTTTAAAAAACCATCAAAACGTTCTAGATTCAGTGGGATAGACTAACCAAGAAGAGCAAACTGGTGCTCCAGCTTTTCCTAGATTTCAATAATTATCCCTTTTCTGTAGCACTAGGTTCAAACATCTCTCATTGGACACCTCTCAAAGTACCAACATCTAGAGAATTTGTTGTTTAGTCGTTAAGTCATGTCCGACTCTTTGTGACTCGATAGACCATAGTACGCCAGGCCCTCCTGTCTTCCACTGCCTCCCAGAGTTTGGTTAAAATCTAGAGAACACCTACAACTAAAATGTCTGTAAAATAAAACAGAAAGTGCTGGATTAAGCCGAAATTCAATTTACCGTATTTTTCGCACCATAAGACGCACTTTTTTCCCGCAAAACAGGGGGGTGGAAAGTCTGTGCGTCTTATGGAGCGAAGAAAACAGATTATATTTTCCTGTTTTCTTCTCCTAAAAAATAATTGGTGAGTCTTATGGAAAGGTGCGTCTTATGGAGTGAAATTCAATTTACTTAATTGCAGAAATTAAGCTCAATTGGAAAATATATGCAGAAGGTAAGAAATCACTGATTCGGAACCACAATGACAAAGCATCTGACTGAGTCAACTATGCCACTGTGCATGAGCCATGAGACAGCCTGCAATTAGGCCAATCAACTAAACTGTCATATATGAATGGCTATGCTCATCACCATTGCTAGCTGCGGGTATCATTTAATGAGGGCTAAGAGCATGTAAATAGCTGCAACTGGAATCCACAAGCCTATGAAAGAGGAAAAATCTATGCTACTTGCAAATCCCCTACCAAAGATAGATGTTAAAAATGTATCAGCACTTATTCAAAATTCAGCAGTTCTGATGAATAAAGCAAGTGCACCAGCAACAGCATAATAGGAAAAAGCATTCTGCTGGAATTCTCACAGTGACTAGTCACTGCAGACATTTAATCGGTAGAAGGCTGAGGTGTAGTTAACAACTCTGATCTTTTTTCAGATCAATACAGTAAAAAAAATCAGTTTTTTCTTCTTTACCCTCACTTGCACAGTTTTTAAAGGATGAGCCATTTCAAAACATGTGGCAATAGGTAACATGAATTAGCAACTTCTATCTGGCATCAGCCTTTGGAACACACTGCCCACAGAGACTCACGTGGGAGCTTTCAAGAGTATTTTTCACTCCATAAGACACACCTTTCCATAAGACGCACCAATTTTTAGGAGAAATAAACAGGAAAATATAATCTGTTTTCTTCGCTCCATAAGACGCATGGACTTTCCACCCCCCCTATTTTGTGGGGAAAAAGTGTGTATTATGGTGTGAAAAATACGGTAAATTGAAGACCTTGTTCTTTTGGCAGCCCTTCCCGTCAGGTAGTATTTAGCTCCTACTCTCGTCTTTACCATCTTGGATTTTCATGTTTTTTGTTTACCACCCAGAGTGGATTTAGCCAGATGGGTGCTATAAAAATCAAATCAATCAATCAATAAATAAAATCACAACACAGATACATCTTTAGAGATGGTACACACAAACACAAAACTGTCTATATGTTGCACATTGTCAACCTAAGCCCTCATACATTATCCCAAGTTCAGTCTGCACTCATTCACAGGTTTTACACCTGATTTACAGGATCCAGCACCTTCACGGATTGCTGCCTTGTTGTGGCGAACGGGTTTGAGTAATTCAGAGAAGCTATGGGCTATGCCATGCAGGGACACCCAAGAAGGACAGGTCATAGTGGAGAGTTCGGACTAAACACGATCCAACTGGAGCAAGAACTGGCAAGCCACTCCAGTATCTTTGCCAAGAAAACTCCATGGACAGAAACAAAAAGCTAAAAGATATGAGGCTGGAAGATGAACCCCTCAGGTCAGAAGGCGTCCAGCATGCTACTGAGGAAGAGCGGAGGACAAGTACAAGTAGCTCCAGAGCTAATGAAGTGGTTGGGCCAAAGCTGAAAGGACGCTCAGCTGCGGACTTGCATGGAAGTGAAAGGAAAGTCCGATGCTGCAAAGAAAAATACTGCATTTTGACCCAACTCCAGGAGGCAGTGGAAGACAGGAGGGTCTGGCGTGTTCTGGTCCATGGGGTCACAAAGAGTCGGACACGACTTAACTAAACAACAACAACACAGGATCCTGACCACTCACCTATGAGCAAACTATCTATAAATTATGTCTATATTACACATCTGTTACCCTATCACATAGAGAGTACTATTGGGACTGTGTGTGTGACTAAAGTGCTTCAAAACACACAAGCAGAGTTCAGATGAGGAACTGGATTATTTCATCATCAGCACTCAGAAAAGACTATACACTTTTACAGATAATACTTACCTTCCGATAGAACCTTGCACATACTCTGTTCATGCATACATTTAAACAGAATGGAAGTAATTGGCAGCTTTATCTAATCTCTTTTGATAGCTTATTATGCAAGATGATGTGCTTATAACAAGAGGGCTCCTGCCACAAACTGCTTAGATTGCTTTCTTTTAAAGGGGCATTTTAAGTTTAATCAGCTCAACTGTACAGATTGCCTGCCAAATATTTCTACGTATTAAAGCAGGGTAGTTAGCATACTTTTTCTTCCAATGAACATCCTTCCCTGGGAACAATTAAGTGATTTTCATTTGACAAGCAGAAAAGTAGGATGGTAAGATGTTAAAACTTCTAGTTGATGTAAGACAAGAAAAATATTCTGAGAACAGGCACACACTTGCCCAAAGTTGGTTCCCATTTGAGCATATTAGGATCCTTTTACCTCATTACAAAATCGAAGCTGTGTCAGCAAATGAGCACAAGACTTTAGCTCTGTTCCTCGTGGGTTTGCAAGAGGGCAAAACACATAGATTAGAAAGAACACTCTGCTAATTAAACTGCTGCAGATGACTAAAGAGGAGAAGGGCTTGTCATCTGTAATGTCTGTGCCAAGAATGGTCATATTAAATATGCAAAATGTGAAGTAAAGGTAGGCAAATGTGCTAAGCTCACATTCCAGACCTTAAATAGGCCACAAAAGTTCTGACAGTTTCCCTAATTATTCACAGTAATGGACTCAGGGTCAAAAGGCAAGAGGAAGAGATACATTTTTCTCCATTATTGGTACTGAGCACCAGGGCTAAAATCATGCCTGTCTGAACACTGATCAGTTTCTGCAAAGGTTAATGGCAATTAAATGTGGCAAACTAGACTAAATGAGAAGCAGGTCATGATACCACTATATCTGTAAAGAGCACAGGACTCTATAAAGGAATGTTTCTTATTAAACTGTTTCTTAAAGTTAAAGGGTGCAAAGAAATTATGTCACACAGTTAACAGCACTGCTTACCATGTTATAAATTCCTTAACATTTCATATTTGTTACGTATGAAATGGGCACAGGCCTGCTATAATCACTTGAAATATTAAATCCTTCAAGAAATCAGCTTTTTTACTGCTGAGAATGCGAATGTTTTGAAACATCAAGATAAAAACCAATGCATCAGTGTTTTGTTTAGGTGTTGTGTTATTTATATGGTGAAACAGTACCTTCAGAGATCAGTATTTAGATCCCAGGTATTACTGATACAAAAACATTGCTATGACACATCCACAACATTCTTTTCTGTTGGAGTCTGAATGTCCATACTGTACCCCAGATAACCACTTCCACACACAAATTTGAAAGTCATGGGCAAATGAATGCTCCTGAGCACATTTACTACAGGATTCACAAGTCACTGTAATCACCAGCTGGAATGGAGGTAAACTTCATGCCTTGAACAGTTGATCACTGGAATGTCCTGCTACTTGACTTATAACTAGCTGATTTATAGTAGCTGTCAGGGGAAATGTTTTGTATGTGATGTAGAGATGGACACGAACTGCAGCTTGGTGTAGTGCCTTGTATAGATGCTGCATGCTTCCTTCCCCCACCCTCCCCCACGCATATTCACCCACTCATCAGCTGCAGCATGCTTCCCTCCCACTTCCTCTGCATGCTCACCCACTCACCAACTGCAGCATGCTTCCCTCCTCTGCCTTCTGCACATGATTATCCTCTCACCAGCAGCACAGGCTTCCCTGCCCCACCTCCTTGTCTGACTGAGCGAGCACAGAGCGAAAGCAGAGGAGGCAAGTGCACTGCACCCGGTAACTGGGCAAGCACATAGAGGCAGTGGGGGAAGGAAGTGCATGGCACCTGCAGAACATCTGCGTGGGTGCCACACCAAACTGCTGAAGTGTTGTTTGTGCTCATCTCTGTGATTTCTGTATATGATATCTGTGAGATAAAGTCATCTTATTTTACTTATAAGAAATGTAATTGTTATTTTTATTTTTAACTTACATTGCTATCCTCTGGATCTTCTAAACCATCAGGCCGACTAAGGTTGCGAGCCGGCTGGCTGCACACTACATTGTCTTCAAATTCCCAAGAGCCTGCTCTTACAGGTGGCATCTGGATCTCATCAGGGTAAAAAGCACCATCTGCTCCATCTGCACTCATATTAAGAGATTAAGTTATACATACCAAAATTCTGTTTCAATTAATATGCCGTATCGCAAAAAATGTTAAATCAGAAGTTTAGTAAGAAGAATAGACACACTGGACTGCTCCCCTTATTAAAATATATCTTCTCCTAGTGTTTAACAAGGATCTTAAGTTTCTGATTTCAGATGCAAACATCTAGATCAATACAACTGTACACCTCCCTACAGACTTTTCCAGTAAAAATTTTTTGATGAAAACAATATTATCCAACCTCTAGTTTCCTGGGTTGTATAGGGATTTCCATACTGCAGTATAGGTAGTCTACTTGGCACAGCTGGAACTGGTTGATCATCTTCAGAACCGAGAACTGGATTGAGAAAGTATAATGCTTGCTGAGATGACTGTCCTTCAGTGATTCTTTCTGTGTTACTTCCTGGTCTCCTTCCAAGATTCTAAAGAAATATTAAATATATATATTACCAGAGTACAGGCCCAAATCTGATTTTAAAATGGCAAGAAACATACTATGATGAGGAAATCCATTCTGTTTTAAGGCACTGACATAATTCTTCCTCAAATCTTCATATTTACCTATCAGGAACACAATGAGACAAGGTGCCACAATGATGTCTTTAAGGTGCCACACCTCCCCCCCCCCCGATACATTGAGGCTAGTGACCCAAGCAGCTAAAAGACTTCTGCTATCACCTCTCATGGTTACAATCTTCTATAGATACTGTGAGACTAGTATCAGAAGCACAGCTTTTTGTTGGTCCCAGTCCTATACCCGCTGTCAGGTTCAGCAAGCACCCTGGGGGAGTGCTCATCAAGTTCCTGGAGTTCAGACTGTAGGCTGTAAAGGTAAAGGTTCCCCTTGACAATTTTTGTCATCATGTCTGACTCTAGGGGGCGGTAGTCATCCCCGTTTCCAAGCCATGGAGCCAGTGTTTTGTCCGAGGACAATCTTCCGTGGTCACATGGCCAGTGCGACTTAGACACAGAACACTGTTACCTTCCCACCAAGGTGGTCCCTATTGATCTACAGTGGTGCCGCGCATAGCGACGATAATCGGTGCAGCAAAAATCGCTGCTAAGCAATTTCGTCGCTATGCAATATTAAAAAACCCATAGGAATGCATTGAAACCCCTTCAATGCGTTCCTATGGGCTTCAGACTCACCTTTAAGCGAAAACCCTCCATATGGTGGCCATTTTCGCTGCCCGGTAAGCAAGGAATCCGTCCCAGAAAACAGCAGGCGGCCATTTTTTTTTACCCGGCAGCCATTTTGGAACCACCAATCGGCTGTTAAAAAATCATCGCTTTGCGATGATCAGTAAGCGAAACAGGGTACCGATCATCACAAAGCGATTTTTCCCCATTTAAAACATCGCAATGCGATCGCAACAAGTTTGTTGGTATGCAATTTCATCGTTAAATGGGGCGCCCGTTAAGCGAGGCACCACTGTACTTGCATTTGCATGCTTTCGAACTGCTAGGTTGGCGGGAGCTGGGACAAGCGACGGGACCCCACTCCGTCGCGTGGATTCGATCTTACAACTGCTGGTCTTCTGCCCCTGCAGCACAGGCTTCTGCAGTTTTTAGCCCACAGCGCCACCACATCCCTTTATAGGATGCTACATAGCACTATATTGCAGTATAGGTAGTCTATGTAGGCTGCTACATAGCACTATATTGTCCCCAGATGCTATTTAACATTTGCATAAAGCTGTCAGGAACAGTCATTGGGGAATTTAAACTGAAGTATCATCATTACACTAATGCCACTAAGCTTTTTTGTTAGTAACATCTGAATCAGAAGAAGCTGCACAAATCCTACAAGCTTTCTCACAGTAGCAATTCCCTCTAACCCTTGTGATGTAATTTCCCTTTTAAAAGTTATACAAATATTTTATTATGGTTTGATTCTGCATATTGCTTACAAATCAGGGCAAGTAATACATAAATACATACTGTTCAAACTAATATACAGCAGCAATACAAAAGATTCAGAAAGAAATCCTTTCCAGTCCTACTTGAAGATTAACCCTGAAAATTTCTGCCTACTATAGTGTGATTTACTATGCCAAACAACAGGATTTGGACCATTAATTCGGACTATGAAACAGTCCCAATTTGAAAGTAGGCAACACACTTGGCACACCAAGCTGCATATCACAAACCACCATATGCACCATATTCTCACATATCCCATAGGCTAGTGTCGTCTAAGTAGTTCTAAAATAACATGTCAATCAAACTAATCTATAAGTGTTTTCCAAAGGATGTTTTCTTCTGTAATCATAATTCCTATTGCAGGGTTAAACAGAACTCATTTGCACTGCAACAACTCTAAGTGGTGTCCAACGGAACACAAACTTGACATGAACTTGTTAAAACCTAAGATGGCTGTCCAGGTTTCCATGGCAGCCAAGAGTGTTTCTGCAATAGTGAGGCTAATGTGCCAAGCATACTTTTTTCCGAAGATATCCCCTGTGGCTGGAATGCCTTAGTTACATTTCACCTGGATGACACCAATACCCTAAGACTGCACACTAGTAATGCTAAAGTTATATTGCATAAGTCTGATGATATCAACAGCCACGGCTGTATATTGGTGATTTAAAGTTTTCTGTTTCCTTCATCCCTGGCAAAACAAGGTTTCTAGGCTTGCTTAGGTTTCCTTTGGTCTGGATAAAGCCTTGGTGACTAATGGACAGGGGAAATCTTAAATGTCCAAAAATCATTGCATTACCTTCATCCCTCATTGCTGTCACAAGGCTTAACATGTTTAAGTAATCTTTTCTGTTTTTAACACTACTTGCTTTATTCATTCTACTGTTATTCCTCTTAAGATGCAGTCTAAATTTTCCCTAATTACAAAGAGTTCTGCTTCTTCTGCACTGGTGTTTATACAGTTTATGGATTTCATTTCTGTAAATGAACTGTTTTTAGATCACACTCTATTTGCATGCCTTTTACTGTGAGGTTTGTTGAATTAACAAACACAATTTCCCATTCAATATCTGAGCTGAAAGGTGGGGTATAAATCAATAAAAAAGAAAAATAAACTAGTACCTTCTCATTGGTGAGGATTCCCACATGGGATGCCAGATCTTTTATCTGTCGGTCCTTTTCAGCCAACTGAACCTATTAAAAAACACGCACACACATTTAAGCAAACCACTAGTGACAGTTATATATACTAGTAAGTAAAATCTTTTATTGCATAATCAACAGATCATTGCAAATTTTAAAAGAAATTAATACGCTGCATTAGAGCAACAGTACTATCATGCCATAGGTATCAATAAAAATACAATGAATTAAAATAATGTTAGTATTAATACTTTAAAATGGGGCTGTAAATATGATTTTTATTTATTTAAATAATTTTAACTAGAACCTCCTAAAGTTCAATGATAAAACTTAAACATAACATTTAAATTATGTTCCATGTGGCTATCTTCATACAGTACATTTAAATCTTTATCACAATTTACACAAATATTTTCCAGATACTTAGCTCTACTTGTAGCTGTATTGAGCCTCTAGTTATAGTATGTGAATTAGGTGTTTGCAATAAAAAGCTCAATTTCCCTGGGATGCATCTATATCCCACTTTCTTTAAGATGGGCTGTAAATATTTTTCTCTTATATCCATATACAAGGGGCAATCAAGCACATAATGAGCCAAGTCCTCAAGAACAGGGTTTCCACAAACACACAATTTATTGCCCTGAAACCTACCCCATTTCATCATTGTATCCATTTGTTCAAATCATAAGCAGGATGCCCTGAAACCTACCCCATTTCATCATTGTATCCATTTGTTCAAATCATAAGCATTTATATGTATTTTCATAGGGACTGCTAAATAATTTTCAAATTGGTGCAATAGTTTTGTATTGGCCAGCCATTTTGTAGCTTCTGTGGAGCTATACTAACAATACTTCCCACTTCAGATATCACTGACAATTCCATAACTGCATCCTTAACAGAAAAAGGAGTAAGAATCATTTCTATAACTACTACGTTTTAAAAATATAGTTAAAATTTTGGATATCAACAACAGAGGCTGCATATGGCATTCATTGGGCTAACACGATTATCACATCATTATTTATTTCCTCTATCAGCCATTACTGAGCCTACACCTATTAACTTGAGTTTCATTCTAACCTTTGATAGACCTCTGTGTATTAACTCCCAAATATCTGGCAGTCTTCTAGATGAGTAGGAGATGGTAGTTACACTCCAATTGTTGTTACTAAGCAGTATTCTCGCTTTGCTCTTTTCTAATCTGCTTCACTTTTACGTATCAAAAAGCTGGGGTTCTGACAACAGTCTTGCAGTTCTTATCTGGGTTTGACTACAGGGAGACTTAAGGAGCTCCCTCCTTCTATCTCTAGGTGTTGGGGAAGCAAGAAAGAGGAAGACAGAGAACAGACTCCAAGAGTATTTGTTGGTTCTTAATGAAAGAGGCTATGAACACAACATATGTGAAAGTTCTGATAGTTTCTCTTGTTCTAAATTGAAATACTATGAACAAAGGATTTTAGAACAAAGGGGTGAATTGCAAGGATAACAAGAGAGAAGTGGTGAATGACTGAAAATCCTTTCACCGGCTTATGCAATCCTGGTACAACTCTTTGGACACTTCGGTTAAGCACCAGGAGGGATAGCAGGCTGATGTGTGAAAGTGTTGGAATTTTAGTAATTTTTTATCCTTCTTCTGCACAAAAGGTAGGCAAGAGAAGACTAGAATATTTGATTTCCAATCCTACATATAGGGGAAAGAGGCTACAAATTATGGCAATGAAGTGCAATACAGTACACTTATTTAGGCACAGCTCTTAATTGTCAACAAAGGCAGCACCTTTGAATCATTATAAGTAGTAAACATATTGTTCCAATTCTGAAAGCCAATTTTCAATCGACAGAAATAACACATTTAATTTTATGAAGAACAACAATTTTAGAATTTATAACTGAATGCTGAAAAAGCCATGTGTTTGCTACACAAACTATCTTTAGGCCAAATCTTATCTCAGTATATGCTTGAAAGAGTCAGCATGTTCAGTTACAAACAGCTCCACAAGAGGTAATTGCTATGAGCCTTGAAGGTCCTTCCAAATTTTGGTAACCCTATGAAATAAGGACCTCCAAAATGTCCTATCATTAACACCCTTGTGAACTCAAGACCATCGTTTCCTTAACTGAATCAATTATTCTATTATTAGGGTTTCCTCTTCTACTGCTTTCCCCTTTTTCTAGCAATTATAATCTTATCTCGTGATAAGTCTAATAGCCTCACTTTAAGCACTTTAGCTTCTAATTAGATTTGATCTAGAATCTTTTGTCTTTCTGGTAGGTCATGTTAATGGCAAAACTCTTCTCCAGTACCACATTTCAAATGAATCCATTCTTCCCTGTCAGCTTTCTTGTTACTCAACTTTCACATCCGCACACAGTGGCTGAAATTCTGTTGCACAGTAAAGCAAACAGCATAATTTTTAGAGGTGAATTGTTTTAAATTAAGAAACGTCCACAGACTTTTTATCTGTTATATGCCATGTCACACAATTCACTACACAACAGATAGTATCTAAAGAGATTTCTTAATTTATCAAAATTAACTTAGAAAAGTTAGTGCTATTTGTGCAACTGTGCAAGAGGCTTTCAGCCACTAACAGTGACTAGCATATCATCGGTAATTTTGGCCTTCAAATTCAACATTCTTGCACTTAATTTCTTCCCTAGTTCCTAACAGCTCCTTCCCCTAGTCTCAGTCTTTTGATTTCTTGGATGCAGCCTTCATTTGGCTTGATGACTAAACCAAAGCATGGAAAATCTTCTGCAATTTTGATTTCATAATTGTGAACATTAAAGATATGTAACTCTTTTGTAGCTGTTTTTTAATCTTAGTGTTCAAGTATAATCCTGCTTTTGCACTTTTTCCACCTTTATTTGTAGCTATTTCATGCAACTGCTATTTTCTAATAGCAATATGGTATTACCTGCATATCTCAAATTACTTAGGTTTCTTCCACCAACTTTCACTTCTCCACCTAAATCTAATACAACATTTTGTACTATATGGTCTGCATTTTTTAATTTATTGAAATACCAATCCCATGATTCTCCATTTCGGGAATTCACCTGACAGGTAGGAACCTTACATAAACCCAGATGTGGCTCACCTTGCATTCAGATCATGCCAAAGAGTATTAGTTTACAATAATGAGAGCTGATAAGCAATACAATTTTGCCTTAAAGGACAGTTCTATAAAGTAAGCTTTTTATTTAATTTTTTCATGTAAAAGACTATTTCCCTCTCAAATCAATGTTATTTTATGTAATTAAATAATTTGATTTTTATGTTAAAGGAAAAGTCAAACTTACTAAATACTGGTCTTCCATAGCAACTAGCTATTGTTTCACACTCTCACTGATTTTCACTTGCTCCTTCCACTTCAGCTCCAACTTGGCCAGTTCATCAGCATAGGCACTACATTTCAATTTTTCATCCTAGAGATAAAGTTATTAACTGGTTTTGCAAACCTCTGTAAAATTTTCTTGCTCATTTGACATACAATACAGCTGCTGAAACAAGCCACCTGCTGACTTCCTTGTAAGGTATTTAATAAAGCTGGCTTTTAAAAATATCTGGTCTAATTAAAGAATCAACACAATAAAATGCTTTAATGTATTTTAGCACTGTTCTTTGTAACTACTGTTTGCAAAAGGAATGAGGGGAATACACACAAACATACTCCATAAAGGTTTGCAACTACCAAGTACACCTTATATCCAGAAGGCTGAGGGCAAAAACCCTTCACCTCCAATGAGCAATAAAATCACTTATGAAGCTCCTCTTGCAGACCAATAAAGTGTCACAAAAAGTGTTACATATAATGTACTATTTGCTTCTAGTTATGAAGAAACATTTTAGGAATACATTTCGAGAGATTCAGCATTCTAACTCTTTATTTCAAGTTCTGCTTGCTCCAGATTATTTGCTTTGCTCATTATTCAAACTGTTAACACTTCCTATATGTCAGGCATTAAACTGTCAGTCAGGATGTTACCTCCTGAAAGAAATTGCATTCTATTCATTTCCTAATTAAGTTTTAATAAATCTGCATATGGGCTAACACTATTTTTTAATAAATACTTAATGCCACTTAAATACTATTAAATAATGCATATGTAGTCATCTCAAAGGATGCATTTTCCGTTGCCTCCTGAGTGCTTGTGATATGCTGTTTTCATAATTAATTGCATTAAAAATAATTTTAAAAGATCTGCCACCCTTCTTACCCAAACTAATATTCTGCAGTCCTACTATACATGTCTAAGCACTCTCAAGGTGTACAACCTATCAGGAGATTGTCCACATATTCGGCTGAAAGCCCCAGTGAACACAGCAGGAATTGTGTATACTTCTAAGTATGGATAAGAATATACTGTAGGGACCACCAAAAACAATTCACCAGTCAATCACGAGGAACTAGTGATGGGACAAGACACTCTGCTGCTTTAAGCAAACCCAGCAATGTGCTTCACCTGTAGTCTTGGGTTTTAAAATAAAATGCTGCACCATTCAGGACCAGGTGTTTACCTTCATACACCTAAAAAAACCATCCGTGTCATGGTCTTTAAGAATGATGAACTATAAAATACACCATCAATAAAAGTTAAGCCAAGCAAGAAAGCAAAAAAGATAAACAATTTTCTTGCAATTATTCTCTAAAAACTCATTTGTTCCATTGCCGCCTCTTACTTACTGACAGTGCCTGCTTGCACTTCTTATATTTCTCTGCTTCCTTATTCTTTTCACGATGTTCCTTTTCTGAAAACTCCAGAATTGTATCAGGTGAAATGGGGCTAACTGCATATTTTGAAGAAAAAGACACTTTTAAAATCATTGTTGCTGGGTGTGGGATGGGAAAACTCAGTAAAATAAAATAGAGGCAGGATCCATACATTAGGAGCTGCAAGCTCTGTACACATATTAATTTTACAAACTGCCTTGACTGGGACACCTTAAAAATTTAAAAAATTGCCTTTAGCATATGTTGAGCCACAAAAGCTTATGAAGAGGATGGTTGTCCATGGTAGTTTATACTCAATAAAAGCTGTAGTTTTAAGGTGTCACAAGAGATGATGTCTTTGAGAAGAAAACATTAAATGTCATCACTTTTTTGAAATACAGTATCAGTCAATCTTCTTCTCCATTGCATAAAAATACTAATTCTAGCGAAAGGAAATATTTTTGCCTTCACCTCAATTTCAAATATAAAACCACAGATTAGTTCTCTCCGCCTACGAAAATCTATGGCCAAAAACCCATTGAGAATTTCTGTGTCCATAACATTAATCATGCAAGCAGTTGTTGCATTGTCCAGGTCACTCAGTACATGACTGAGTGTGCAATTAGTCAATGATCAAGCACAGGATGGACAGGCTAGAAAACAGCTCATCTACAGACTCTGGAAAGTAACATTTTCTTAAGAGCTTTGAATAATGAAACAAGTGTAATTATTAGATAATATTACAGTTTATTTAGTTACATAACTATTACATGGGCAGGATCTTTCAAGTATTTTATTTTCTGTACACAGAAATAGATGATACCTGGAGATGTAGGCAACTTTTTATCTCCAGCCTCACCCACGAGAGTTTCACTTTTTGAGCCATCTGTCAGATTCTGCTGATTCCCTGCAACTGTCTTTACAAAAAGAATTTATTTAAGGTGCTTTTGAACAATAAAGGGTTTCAGGGAAGTAAGTAATGAGTAAGAGAATTAAAAATATTCAGACAAATACAACATAAATATGCTAACCAAATGCAATCACTAACTAAACTGAATAGGAACAAGACTAACAAAAGTGACATTTCCTGTGAAATGCCCGGGCAAACTAGAAGGCTGTAAAGCCATGCCAAAATGATACCACTATTCTGGCTAGGTGCTGTTTTGGTTGTAGACTTTAACAGTCTGGTCAGCTCAAAGGGCATCTGCACCAGGGAGCCCTCTTGAAACAATTCACCTCCCAGTCCCTAATGTTAAAAAATTGTTCAATTCCTTCTCACTATATGGGAGAGTATATGAAAACATACATACTCAAGCACCAGAAAAGAGACAGAGTTGAGGGCTCTTTCAAGCTCTAAATTTCATCCATCAAATATTTTTCTACTAAGAATGACATCAATGGAAGATCATTTCCCCAGCTTTCTATATCATCTGACACAGAAGCATAAGAGTTAAACCAATTCCATCCCCTTTCCTCAGTGAATGAGAAGCTATTATCATTATTCATTACAAACCAATCATGAAATACTCTGACCATCTTCTCTCTTAGATAACAAGCTTTTAATATCACTCATATTCTAAAAGGTACATCCAAGTTGTTTTCAGAGACAATGCCCATGGCAGTTTAGTATGGAAACTATTTAAGACCAGACTTTATTCAGGCATGCAGAAGACAGCAGAAAATAACTGCTAACCTTCTGGATTAGGGTCATCAAGAAGTTGCAAATGTGAATGGAGTAGGTACTGTACCCTAAAATAGTGCATGAATCTTGTTTTGCAGTTATCAATTTGTCTTCACCCAGTATGCCTTAGCTGTGATTTCTGCCTTAATTCTACACTTACATGGATTGTAGGAGTAAGAAATTCTGTAAACTTTCTTGTGAAATCAGAAAGTTCACCCCTTAACCTAAAAATTAGCCAGTTTTTAAAAAAAGAACCTTTGTGGCTATTTTGACTGTAAAATCTATTCCCAAATTTAATGGGAGTACACCTGCCTTATACATTCACAAAAGGTACTTACTGTCTGCTCCATGAGTTTATTGACTTGTTTTTGAAGCTTTTGGCACTCCTTGAATTTCTCCTTGTAATGATCAGCAGCCATTTGTAGACGGAGCTTCAGATCTTCAACCTCCCTGCGCAATTCTTTTTCTACTACATTTGATGCTTCCTTTACAAAAAACAAATCAAGAAAAAGGAAAGTATATTTACTCTTTAGAAGTATGTTTAAAACCCCTCCATAGGTTTCATTGCTTTAACTGGACCTACTCAAGCTGTAACCTAGGTAGTAACAACTAAGGAGAAAATAGACTTAAAAGACAAAATACGATAAATAAGAAATTCTTCTAGTTTCAAGTAGACAATCTTTCATGTCAAAAAAATCATTGTGCAGTGGACAAAGGCTGCTACAACTACACCACTTATAGCTGTCCTTAGAAAGCTGGATCAGCTGACACGAAACTGACAAATATTCCCACTCATGCAATGGTCAGATCTGCACTTGCTCAGCTCCAGTGACACAATACAATGTGCTCTGAAATCATTCATTTGGAAAAGCAGCAAATTAGATAATTCTTTGCTCAAAGTATGTACCAGCAAACAATCAGTTCCCTCACAGATGAAATGACGAATGAGAACTACATAGAAGGTGCAGTGTTGAGTTGACCAAATCGATTTGACTGTTGAGTTCGAAGTCACCTGTCAACATTAAATATTAGGACACAGAGGCTGAAATACTGTCGCTTACCATAGCTTACATTGGAACAGGCCCACTGAAACTGTGGGATCTGGTGAGTCAATTCCTCCATAGGTTTCATTGATTTAACTGGACCTACTCAAGCTGTAACCTACTATGCTAAAAAAGTCATAAAGTAAGGCCATTTAAATCAATGGAATATGGGGGAGTTTGTTCATCAAATCCCCAGACCCAATGAGCCTATTCTGTTGCAACTTACTACACTAAGCAACAGGATTTAAGCCACTAGATATTCTATCTACCTTCTACTTCTTTTCATCAGTCTGAATAGCCTAATACAATTAAGTGAAAGAAATATCACCTTCTATCTTTGGAAAGCCAGCCAAAGCTAGCTAACTAGCTAGCTAGCTAGCTAGCTAAATAAATAGTTTTCCACTCATACTGGATTGTATTTAGAAGTCATAGATGAATCAGACACATAAGGTTAAACCTGTACACCTGTGCTATAAAGGTGTAAGTCCAAACTACATATTCTACAAGATAGATTAATTCACTTTGGGGCTGCCAAATATTTATCAGCCTTATTTAGACAACAAAAATCAGCCCTTGGCAAAATGGACACTGTTATACGCCACCAGACCTATTATTACTAGAGTAAGTACAGGTACGTATTTTTTGAATTCTCCACATTAAAAAAAAGCCATGAAAATAGCTCCATGAAAAGCCATATAAAAACCCATGTTTTATGCTTTACATAGATAAGCGTACAAACAATTAACTGTAAGTATTTTTAAATGGTTGCCTCAAATGAGAAAAGGTATAGGTTGCCTCACATGAAAAAAAGTACAGGTTGTCTAAATATGATTATGTGGCACATTCAACATTTCAGAAATGTTGTTCATTTGTTTTCCACTCATACTGGAGAATACGAATGGAAATTTTCCAAACATGTGAGAAGCACGAAAGCATGAGAAAGTTCTGTCTTCCCTCCCTTGCAATCTAATTAATGGAGGTCAGACTCATAATTATATGGAATAGACTACTAATCTACTGAAAGTGATTGAGAATTAGAAATTAGTAAAAATGTTACATCTTATAACAGTGAGAATACTACTGGTGTTTATATCAAGTTTGCTGTTGCTAACTGCAGCTAGCTGATAAGGTTCTAGGATGTGTCTTGCCCATATGCCTCATCATACACACAGTTATGCCACCCAGATGCACCCTAGTAACTTGTCAATTAGCCGTGGCAAGTAATACAAATCTTATGCTAACAAGAAAAAGATTCCAACCATTATCTCATGTGTAGATACTATCTATAAAACAGAGTATTTACCTGTTCCTTATGCACCAAAGTCATTTTTTTAAGTTCAGACAGAGCATCAGCAAGTTGCTTCTTCATCTTCTCATTTTCTAATCGAGCATTATGAAGATCGGCCATGGTTTTATCACGAGCATTTACTGTATCACTCAGTTCTTTTGACATCAATAAAGCTTCCTGTCTACTGGCTTGTAACTGATCCTCAGCTTTTCGAAGCTGTTCCTTTAAAATGCTTGCTTCTTCCTGGAAAATTAAATAGCAGAATGTACCAGTCAAGATTTGTGAGTCATCTCTCACTTTCTTAAAATGAAAAAAAAAAACACAAATTTTTCAAAGGGCATAAATTCCAAACATGCTAAAATATCCAGTTGGTGGAAGTAGTTATATTCATTCTAAAATTATTATTTTTTCTATTCCCCAAGTAGTATGAAGTTATTTCTGGTTTGCTCTGAACTACTGCTAAAGCCACATCACTGTGATTTTTTTTATAAGCTACACTTCAGAGCACAGCATTTACAAAGATCTGAATCCAACTGTGTTCAGTGAATCAGTGCATCAGTGAAATTTACATAAGTATTAAGTTATTACTAAGAAAATAATCCAGTTGTCTCCTGTAGTTGAGCACAGAAGGTGAATGCAGGCTACCATGTCTGTCCTGAAAATAAAATATAGTGCACTAAAATATAATCGCCATCCAGACAACAACGCAAAAAATATTTAAAACTGATGTCAAAACGTAAGAGTACATCCAAGACCGACGATCCTTCTAGTGTCGCACTGATATTAGAACTACAAAGAGCAAATTTGGTAAGATACATAGACCTCTAGGGAGAGGAACTATAACAATAAAGACCTACAATTGAAATGGCCCTCTCTATTGATTGTCTATCATACAAGCCTTCTGAAGCAGATCTTAATGGTCAAGCAGGGTTGTGAGGGTGTGGGTAGTTTATGTACTCTAGCCTCTAACAATTTGAAACTATACAGACCAAAAACAGCAGTTTAGACTGCAGCCAGTGCAATAGATACAGAATTATTCTCACATGTTCTACCACCAATATGTGGACAGCTACATCTTGTACCAGCCGAAGTTTCCATACCATCTTCAAAGGCAATCGCAGAGAATGTGTTACAGTACTCTAATTTGAATGTGCCTAGGTAACCAAGGAGAGAGGCTGGCTCTCTAAATAACCAGTATATGAGCCTATGATGTTAAAAGGCATTCAAAGCCACCAAGGCTACCTGAATTTCCACATGCAGTCAAAATCCAGGAAGATCTCTAAATTACAAACTTGGTAACTCAAGAGGAGTGCAACTCTGTTCAAGTCAAATCTTTATCCATATTTTACCTAATTCTCAATTCACAGTACCTCCATTACATTTAATATAAACTTCTTTATTCTCAACCAATCCCAAACTCATTTTTCAGACACCTGTTCAGTAATTCTACAATCTTACTACATACAGGGAGAAAAATGAGTGAGCATCACTGATGTTATAGCCCAAAACTCAAGAGTACTTTTTTTCAGTTTTTTGTTGTCGTTGCCGCTGCTGTTAAACATGAGATACAAACTGGAACTTTTAAGGTATCCTCCACAATAAAGGCTGTATCCCTTGGCATAATCTTATATCCCTCGGCATAATGTTCTAAGCATTATCCTCTAAGGAGGTCCATGTAGGAAGTCAGACAACCAGAAATATACCATCATGTTTAGGGATCTAAGAGAACCAGCTTGTAATTACTTCCTAATGAACTTTCAAGTAATCCTCCAGACCCCACTAAGAACAAGGGCTACTTAAAGCTGATTCCACTGAAAATTTTTCTCCAGGCTAGAATCCTGAGTAGAATGTGTGTTTAGTCGTTTAGTCGTGTCCGACTCTTCGTGACCCCATGGACCAGAGCACGCCAGGCCCTCCTGTCTTCCACTGCCTCCCGGAGTTGTGTCAGGTTCATGTTGGTTGCTTCGCAGACGCTGTCCAGCCATCTCATCCTCGGTCGTCCCCTTCTCCTCTTGCCATCACACCTTCCTAACATCAAGGTTTTTTCCAAGGATTCTTTTCTTCTCATGAGATGGCCATCTGCCCAAATCACTTGGAGTTAAGAAGCTATCACCTTTATCTTATCTTTAGATGGCAGGTTAAAAAAGAGAGTGGAATAGGCAAGTGTGTACTACAGCTCCTATACTCCCTCATCAATTGTAACAGCTAGAGATCAAGGTATTTGTATATGAATGCCCCATGCGTAGGTGGATATAACAAGGGTGCAGCCCCATGGGGCCGGACAGTCCACTCATTGATCCGCCACTGCAGAGCCTTCCAATGGCTCCAAAGAGTGCCTTCAGCGAGCCACTCTTTGACCTAGCAGAGAAGCTTGACATCCTGCCGCCTGCCAGGAGTGGCAAGCCAAATGCAACCTTTGGAGCCACTGGAAGGCTCCGCAGCGCACGCAGCAGATTGGTGAGTGGACCATCCGGCCCCATAGGGGTGGACCCTCATTATGTCCACCTGTGCGTAATAGCAGTTAGGGCTGATGGATTGTCTACATCCTCACACTGAATGAGCTACAAAATATTAATAACATGACAAAATGCTATCCTATTTGCCTCTCAATTGCTGTGTTCAAGCCATATCATTGTCATGCAAGTGATTTTATTGTCAAAACGAGAAACAAAAAAGAGCTTCTGAAAAACTCTTTTCTTTGTACATACCTGCCTATACTGCCTCATGGCACAACTGATACAGAGAAAAGCTTGGTGCAAGATATAGGCTATGCATAGTTCTGTATTTTCAGCAGGAAACCCAAGGATTACAACACAGTGTTGTGCAAGATGGGCAAAGCTGTACATTTTTGTCAGCCCTCAAAATAGTCACCCCGGTCCCTTTTTTTCTACATTTATATTAAAACATATGATTACTTGAGGGACATTTAATGTGTTGCACAGACTGACTGTTACGGGGGAAGAATGGTGCATTGAAAAATACTATGCATTGAACAAAACAGAAATATGAGTATGTATATGTAAATACTCTACAATACTCTATAAAATAGTCCTATACCAACATTTATCTGCATGGAGCATGTACCCTTCAAAGGCAAAAATGCACAAATATCTGTCCATACAGTGGTGCCTCGCTTAGCGATTGCTCCGTTGAGCAATGAAATCGCTTAACAATGGGGTTTTGGCCATCGCCAGAGCGATCACTTAGCGATGGCCCGTATGGGGGAAAATCGCTTTGTGATGATCACAGGGAAGCGATCACCGCAAAGCCCCCGTTTTTGGCCAGCTGATCGGCGGTTTCAAAATGGCCGCCGGAAAACAAAATGGCCGCCCGCTGTGTTGCCTCGCTTTAGAGGCACCGAAAATGGCCGCCGCAATGGAGGATCTTCGCATAAGGTTAGTTTTAAAGCCCATAGGAACGCATTAAACAAGTTTTAATGTGTTTCTATGGGCTTTTAAAAATCGCTTAGTGACATTTTTTCCAGAACGGATTAACGTCGCTAAGTGAGGCACCACTGTATTTAAATTGCCACAATAGAGTAATAATGTAACAGATTTAAAGCCACTGTCTTCTTTTAATTATGTCTGACCAAACATAATCAATACTCTTTCAGAGAACGAATATATTTAATCATATGTGACTGATCTGCAGATAACATAAGACAACTGGAATAACTAAGACACTCAAATGAGGAAACAAAGTAGTTCAGTCAAGTAGCTGTATTTACCTTGTTTGCTGAAGTCAGCAAAAAAGCTTTCTTCAGTTTTTCTCTCTCAGTCACACACAGCTGTAATCTTCCAATCTCTTCCTTATAATAAGCTATCAAATTCTCTTTGTTTCCATCCAAATTTTTTAATGTCTGCACCTCCGATGCTAGCTTGGCATTTTCGATTTCTGTGTTCTTCAAATGTATCTGTAATGTTAAACCAGCTCAGATTAATATTCATCATGTTTCTAAAAAGAAAAGATCTCCACAAAAGAGAAATTGCTCAGGAAAACAGAGGGAGAGACTCTGACACAACTGACTGTAGACAGCTCCACTGAGCCATCCTGTTTGCCATTTCCAATGTGTGTACAGTACAGTAGTGCCTCGCACAGCGAGGTTAATCCATTCCAGATTAACCCTCGCTGTGTGAAAGCATCGTTGAACGGGGCAGGAAAAGCCATTGGAATGCATTAAACATGGTTTAATGCGTTCCAATTGGGCCGAATACTCACCGTTCAGCGATGCTTCCCTATGGCCGGCAGCCATTTTCGCGCCCTCCCCTCGCTTAATGAGGACGCGAAAACGCTGCGCGCGGCCATTTTGGGGCTTCCGGCGGCCATTTTGTAGCCGCCGAACAGCTGATTGGCGGGTCGCAAAGTGAAGGGCGGTAAGCGAACCGGTTACCGACCTTCGCTCTGCGATTTTCGCCCTATGCAGGCACCATTTTGCGATCGCATTTGCGATCGCAAAACCGGCCTCGTCGAGCGAATTCATCGCTCTACGAGGTGCCCATTGTGCGAGGCACCACTGTATTTCATAACGAGTCTATGAAAAGGAAAACACTAAGAATTTTCAATTCACATATAAGAACTCAGTTGTACAAGAGTCTGAATGCTAGTCTTTAGACACTTGCAAGGAGTATGTATTGAAACCTATGTTCCATTCATGTACTGAAAAATAATGCACAAATCATTCAATTGGCTGCCCAAAGCTGGTCTGCATTTACGCATGGGAAGTCCATCATTCTGATACAGGTAGAACAGGGAATACTGGAAGATATAGTCAAAGAAGAGAAGCTGACCACTGCCAGGACAACGTAAATTAACTATGGAGCAAAGCTGTGTAGTTTGTTCATTCCCACTGCAAACACCATGCACTAATACATTGATTGACCACATTATGTTAACTTGGCCACTGAAGAATTTAAGTCAGAGGATGGAAGATCAGAAGGCACAAGGTAATCTTTTTAAGTAACAGTTAGTGTTACATATTTTAATCTTTTCACCATATTTTCCTTTATTTAATTAACCTTTGTTAGTTGTAAAATAGAAACGTTCTCAAAATGTAAATTTTATTCAGTAACTTCAGTGGTGCCCCGCTTGACAATGAATCCGCTTTACGATGAGTTTTTTGCGATCGCTATTGTGATCGCAAAATGATTCAAAGGGTTTTTTTCACTTGACGACGATCGGTTCCCTGCTTCAGTAATCGATTTTTCGCTTAACAACGATCAAAAACAGCTGATCGTCGGGTTTTCAAAATGGCCGCCTGCTGTGCAAAATGGCTCCCCGCTGTGTTCAGGACAGATTCTTCACAAGACAGGCACCGGAAAATGGCCGCCCTATGGAGGATCTTTGCTGGACGGTGAGTTATTTCCCCCATTGGAACACATTGACCAGTTTTCAATGCATTTCAATGGGCTTTTTTTTTTCACTTGACGACGATTTCGCTCTACAGCGATTTTGCTGGAACGGATTATCGTCGTCAAGCGGGGCACCACTGTAATTAAATTTAATCTCTAATTTTTAGAATTTTTAGTAGACTTAAGGAAGATAATATGAAATAAAAATAAGCAGTTTATTATGAATGGGTTTATGGGGGCTCAAAATACTATTTCTTTTTCAATAAAAGTGACCAACTAGAAAAATGGCACCCAAGCCTGAAGCAGCTGTCCATCCCTAGCTTATGGGGAGGGAGTGCCTGTGAGGTTTCCCCATTTCATTACCACATAATATTAATCATAACTGTATAGTGAGTGTCTCTCCGATAGGTAAATCTCTCTGCAATTATATCCTTAACAGCACATTTATTTTATTCATAAAGTAAATTAAATATCTCTACAATTATATTAATTCAGGTTCTCCAGTATATATGAGACAGATTAGAAAGTTATTATTATAGATTTTATTTATATGCCACATTTCTCTCAACAAGGGACCCAAAGCAGCTCACAACATTAAAATTCACACAATTAAAAAACACAGTAAGTTAAATATTAAAAGATAAATTAAACAATATATGATTTAAAAGTAAATTAAAACATTAAAACATTAAAAAATAGAAAGATTAAAATTATTGGCTGAAATGGGGTTCTACCTTGTAGAGTTCCTTTTCATCCTTCTCTGTCTTCAACTGGCATTCAAGTTGTTCTTTTTCAAGGCCTACTTTCTTAAGTTTGTCTTTTAAGCTATAGGAAAAAAAATAAAAATCAAATATATTCCTGTTTAGATTTTAATGAACCATGAAACATTATTTTCAGTTGGTACCTGTCTAACTCTGTTTCTTTTGCAATAGCCTTCTGAGTAACAGTCATGATATCTTCTTCCAGCTGGAGAACTTTCGAAGTAGTTTCATCATATTTTTTCTTGAGCTCTTCTTTTTCAGTTTCAAGAGCTTGTCTGGTTTTCAAGTTATCCTTACAAAAAAGAAAGTGCATCACAAAGTAAATTGTGGAAACAACAATTTTAACAAATGTCTAATCAACAGCAAACACTTCCTATGTTACCATCTTGAAAGAAATGAGGAAGCAATATAACCTCTATGGGGCAGCTAGATGGGATCTGAGTAATTTGCATTATGGAGGTAAAGCAGTTCAGTTCCTGTACCCATGTCCAAACATTCAGCACCTTAGTACATTTGAGATTTGGAATCTTTGTGCATTTTGAGGAAGAAATATATGCCCAACTGGGTTGCTCTATCTGAAAGGCATGTGCTTTTGATTCAAAATGATAGGATGCTCTGTTCTTAAATAAATGTGATTGAGGGAAGTGGATCACATTTATGCTTACAAAGAATGGGAACTTGCTAAAAGAATATAGACATACAGACTTCTGACAATTCAGTTACAGAAGCAGTAAGAATAGAAGGCTGTCTTATTGAACCTATACACTCTACATTTGAGGCATAATATTGGGAAAATGTTCCTGCTGAAGGTACTAGAGAAAAAATGCTTTAGACTTTCTAGCATGTTTCCCTTTTCTACCTCATAATTAAGAAAGCAAACAACTCCTCCTCTCTTGCTACAAAGAAATGTATGAACCAAGCAAATATATTTTAAGCTTTAAAGAAAACTGGAGATTGTATCTCCCATCCCCTAGGCTTAAGGTCTTATGTTTGTTCCTTGAAATTACAACTAATGTTAAAGATTCAGGAAGACTGCCTGTGGTTGAACTGGCTATCTTTCATTTGCAACCCTATTCTCAAATAAAGAATCAGCACTGGCTCTTCGGGTTTCATTGATTTCCAATTTGCTCTCTAAGCACCTACAAAACAGTACTAGGAAAAAGGGACAAAGAAGCTTATAGTGGGCAAAGAATGATTTTCTTCTGAGGTTTGTTTTTTCATTCTTCCCCCTGGCCCACCCCCACCCATTTCTCAACTGCTGGCACAGTAGTAGTTAAGACTTGCCACTGCTGTCAGAAGCATTCTGCAAAGGAAGAATAGGAGTCCTCTTGATGACACACTCATAGAAAGTTGGCAGTAAAAGGGAAAAAATGTCCACCTTAAAGTCAGCTCAAAACTCAAAACAAAATGAAATAAGCCTAATCCAGTACAGGAAAGAGACAGGGCCACTGTAGTGATAGGTGTCATTATCAATATGGTTTTTAACCACTGCTTTTATTCCCTGCAAAACTAGGCAAGCATCAAGAACTATATGCTATTCTTGCAGGAAATTTCAAAAATAAGCCAAATATAGTGTTTTATATATGTTTTGGCAACTTGAAAACCAGAAGTATCTTTCGCTGCAGCTCTTTCAAAAATGTAGAAAGTAACTAACTGTACACAGTTGTTTAAGTAATATGAACAAAATCCACATTTCACAAGCTTATTTGCCACACTTGGCTAAAAATACCATATACAGTGGTGCCTCGCTTAGCGATCGCTCAGTTTTACTGCGAAATCGCTTAGCGATGGGCCCTATGAGTAAAAATCGCTTTGCGATGATCGTGGAGACGCGATCATGGCAAAGCGCTTTTTAACAGCTGATCGGCGGTTCAAAATGGCCACCGGAAAAACAAAATGGCGACCGCTGTTTTACCTCGCTTTAACGGCACCCAAAATGGCCACCGCTATGGAGGATTTTCGCTTACAGGCAAGTTTTTAGCCCATAGAAACGCATTAAACGCGTTTTAATGTGTTCCTATGGGCTTTTTAAAATCGCTTATTGATTAAATCGTTTAGCGACGTTTTTCCTGCACAGATTAACGTCGCTAAACGAGGCACCACTGTATAACTGATGTACAGGTTTATTAAAGGATGGGTAAAATGCTGAATAATTCTAATGAGATAAAGCAGTGTTTTATCTTAAGTCTAAACTGAGTTTCTGAAACTACATAATAAACAAAGTTTTTCTGATCAAAGCACTATGATTGAATAAGTGCTGTAAGTATAAGGCACCTGAAATGTGGTTTTTAAATCTGAGTAACATCTACTTTGTAAATCAATTTTCATGATTTGAAGACAAATACTAGTAAAAGGTTAAAACTAAATAAAATAAACTATATAAAACACGACTGAAATATTTGTTAAAAATAACACCTTTATTAAACCTGTAAACCTGGCAGTACTCCATTTTATATTAATGCACACTGAAAGATTTCCCAAAAGCTTATGTAATCAATGAGACACAGGATACACAGATTTACTGAGCATCAAAATTGTACATTAAGAGTGTATTTATCATAATAGTTATAATTAAGTATAAGTGAAGATACTAGTATTACTTTATTACAAGGAGAGATAGCCCTTTCATGTCTAAACAGGCTCTTTTGTGCAATCCATATTTTTTCAGCACATTCTGAAAAACAGCCTCTTAAACGTGAATAAAAGGTAAAGGTAAAGGTACCCCTTGAGAATTTGTTCAGTCGTGTCCGACTCTAGGGGGTGGTGCTCATCCCTGTTCCCAACCCATAGAGCTAAATTGTATGCTAGACACTTGCAGTGGAAATTACGAGATTGGATTGATCAAGAAAACTGTATGGCTGAAGAACAAGCAGGATTTAGAGAGGGTCACTCACCCCTGGATCAATGCGTGATTCTGGAGCATTTAATCTCAAAATATGCTTCTAAGAAGCTTGTATCCCTTTATGCAGCATTTATTGACTTTAGAGCCGCCTTTGATTCAATCTCAAGGAATATCCTATGGGCCAAATTAAGAGACTCTACTATTGACAAGCGTCTCTTATTTTTAATTAGAGCGCTATATAAAAATACCACAGTACGAGTTAAAACTAATGCACAAGGCCATCTTACAGCTTCTATCAAGACTGAGAAAGGTGTAAAACAGGGTTGCATACTGGCTCCCCTGTTATTCAACGTTTACATAAATGATTTAGCCATTCAGTTAAATCTACCGGAGCATCATCCCCCTAAATTGGCAAGTATACATATTGCTACATTGTTGTATGCAGACGATGCCGTGCTTTTGTCAAGGACACCAATAGGACTTAAGAGAATGTTGCTGGCACTCTCCAAATATTGCCAACAAAACCGTTTGGAGATAAATTATGACAAAAGTCATATCCTTTGCTAATAGACCAAAGAGGCATACCTGGTATATAAATCATGTCTGCATTGAACAGGTACAACACTACAAATATTTAGGTGTCATTATTCAGGCAAATGGGAAGAAAAATATGCATACAAATTATATTGTATCTAATGCACAAAAAAGCGCTAGTGCAATACAAAGATTTTTTTTGGACCAAAGGGGGGCGTAATGTGACAGTTGCCATCAAACTATTTTTGGCAAAATCCTTGGCACAACTGACCTACGGTGTTCCAATTAGCATTGTAGCAGACAGGTCCGTGATGGAAAAATTTCAAACCAAAAATTTAAAAGCTGTACTATCACTGCCAATCAATTCATCAAATGAAATGGTCCGTCTGGAATCAGGATTAGTAACAATAGAGGCCAGACTATGGATAAGTGTCCTGTCACACTGGCTAAAACCTAATCACACTAACTCTGGGCTTACCCACTTGATATTGAAGAACAACTTCGTATCCCCATGGAGGGAACTGTTGGAGATCAAACTGGGGTATTACGGATTCTCACAACAGTATCTAATGTCTATGAGCTACGACCACACCAAAAGTCTGATTAAACAACGGATCTTAGACATGGAAAGGCAGCATGATCTGAATAGAGTTAAAGCGCACATAAGGGATATCATTGGCATCAATAGAAACACACCAATGCCTTATGTAAGAGAACTTTAAAATTCCGAAAATAGAAGAGCATTTATGCTAATTCGTATGGGCATGTTGCCTTCTGCCGTCTTGGAGGGCAGATATAAGAAAATTCCATATCTGAATCAGCATTGTGTATGTGATGTAGGAAGCATAGAAACCCTGGAGCACACACTCTTAGACTGTAAAATTTATGAAAAGATCCAGGAACGATATATTAATTCAATTATTTTGAACAGCGAGGGTAGCAACAGGAAGGGCTGTCTTCAGACCCTGCTCGAGGACAGAAACAAAGTTACAACTTACAATGTGGCCAAATTTGGACGCTTGGCCATCAAGCTAAGGCAAGCTTGGACCAACCAAATGGATAAAGATTCCATTAAGTAGCGCATGTTTATCTAAGGTCATTTAGGCTAGTAAAGGCCCTTCAGGTCATTACAGGATGACAGTGTGAAAATACAGTGGACCCTTGACTTACAGACGGCTTGACTTACAGACTTTTTGAGTTACAGACTTCTCTGGCCACAAAATTTAGGTTTGACTTGCAGCCTGAGAATTGACTTACAGACCAGGAAAAAACCAAAATGGAACAAAAACGGCCTGTTACGGGATTAATCGGTTTTCAATGCACTGTACGACAATGGAGACTTGACCTACAGACTTTTTGACTTGAGAACCGCTTTCCAATACGGATTAAGTTCTCAAGTCAAGACCCCACTGTAGATCTATCTTATAAGACTCTTTGATATATACTGCATATATTAAATTTTACTGTTTTTGGAATTTTTATATATGGTCATGAAGGGTTTTAAGATTTTGTTTTATTGGTTTGTTATTGACTTCATGTACTGATCCAATGTTTTAATGGCCTTTGGCTTAAAATTAAATAAAATTGAAATTGAGATAGAGCTAGCGTTTGTCCGACGACAATCTTCTGTGGTCATGTGGCCAGCGCGACTAGACACGGAACGCTGTTACCTTCCCACCGGTACCTATTTATCTACTCACATTTTGCATGCTTTTGAACCGCTAAGTTGGCGGGAGCTGGGACAAGCAACTCCAATGCGTGGATTTATCTTATGATTGCAGGTCTTCTGACCTTGCAGCACAGCGGCTTCTGCAGTTTAACCCGCAGCACCACCATGAGGAATATAAAAATTCAGTTTAAAAACCAGTTGGCTCTTCTGTTCTCAGCTTAAGGTTAGCCCAGTTAAACGGTGGTTTAAAGGACCAGTAGTGGTCTTTGATACTTCATCAGTTAGGACAAGTGTCAATGGGAAATTACTTAATATGCCTAATCTGACATAACATTACCTAGTCCAGGGGTCATCAACCCCTGGTCCGTGGCCTGCGCCGGTCCGTGGGTATGGATCTCCACAACACACCCACCGTGCAAGCGGGACACGCTCATTGTGCTCGTGCGGGGGTGCCCCCTCCCCCTCACCTATGGAACTCACTCCCCCCAGCCAGTCTGCGGCCCCAAAAAGGTTGGGGACCACTGACCTAACCTATCATTTAAAAATACTCCCATTTCACTAGTTCTAGATGCAAACAGCTTCTGCGGTTTAACCCGCAGCGGCACCACGTCCCTATAAAATACATGCACATGTATAAACAAATACATATTTTTTAAAGTTTAACTAAAAGCTTGTAAAGAAAACATAAATGAGCACTGATGTTTTACATTTCACAAAATAACAGCTACAAAAGATGTATCCACATTCTATGTCCCAGCATCTTTAGACGGTTTGGATAACCGATTGTGAAAAGACAACACTGATAGCTTTTATCAGTATTTAATTAACTAATGAACCAACCTTCTGCTTTGCTTCAAGCTGATTAAATCTTTCTTTTTCATAGTTAAGTTCTTTTTCCAGTCTCTCAACTTGGTCTCTGAGCTGAACAGTTTCCTTTTCAAGTGAAGCAGTTACTTTTAATAGTTCTTCTTTTTCTTTCAGGGTTTTTTCAATTTTGAACTAAAAACATGAAAGCAAATCATTTAAAAAATTCCCCCCCAAGGACTACCGCTGCATTGGCAACTGATTTGTGTAAATTCCCTCTAGCACATAAATCACAGGAGAATCATTGTAATAGTTACCTTGTATCTGGTCACCCATCTCACAACCCAACATTCTCAATCTGCAACTACACTTTCCCCTCAAGATTATTAGTACAGATACATATCTATGTATGCTGAAAACACAGACAGCATAAAAATGAGCTGTGTTTTTTGCACTTATTTATTTATTCAATTCTTACACAGAATCAAAGGAATCAACAGCCATCTAAAAATGGTAACCGCTGCAAATCTTCAGGACTGCAATAACAAAATCTAAGTAAAACACTGCAATGTTCTAGAGTTGAATGCTAATGTATTTTAGATCACGTCATTAAAATGCAGCCAACTTCCGTTTCACCTTAAAGCTCACAAACCATTATGGCAAACATTAAAATCAATTCCTTTCAGCCATGTCTTTTTGTTGACCCTAACACATCCTAGCCACTTCCTTTGTTACAAAAACTGTGATTTTTTTTCAACTGTTAAATTAAAATTGGGTAATCCGTATGTGCAGGTAAAACTGTGCACATACAAACCTGCAGACAAGTTTCCCACAGTGGCATAAGCATCAGATTCCCATCTGGTTTACATGCAGTAGTGATAGAAACCTTATTCTGTTTCTTTAAAGTAGTGTTTATACATGTGAAGGCAGCTAGGAGTTACTCCCTTACTCACTTATTTAATATGTTATTTTCTCGCAGAATGTCATATGATGTACTTATTTATGTATGCTTGTCTCCACAATTTAAACACAACTATGATATAAATGTTTGCTAGTTCAAACCTCAAGAAGTCCAGCCTTGGTGGTCACCACCAACATATCAGAATTTCCTTCGTCTTCCATTGTTAGCAATTCTTCCACTGGAGATGATGTTCGAAATTGGAAAGGTGTGCTTGCTCCACGGATTTCACCCTTATGTGTCACATAACAGAACTGGTAAAATTCACCATCATCATTTGGAAGATAATATCCTGGTGAACAAAAATGTTAATGAACACCTCCTTTCAATAAATTTATTACAACCACTTCTGTACAGTGTAATATAGTAATAAAATATATTCTGGCATCTTTCAGAATCTAAGCAACCAATTTAGAATGAAGAAACTAGGGGGATAAACCTTTTTTTAAAATTTTACCTTGAAAAGACAGCACACAGTTAACTGTTGATCCTTCTATATAATTCTCAGGCATAGGTGACCAAAGAAAGGTGTAATAATCTCGTGCAGTACTCCATCCAACCTAAAGTAAGAACAGCAAATGTTTACTACAACAGAACTAACCACAATTATTTGGAATGGCTAACCTTAATATCCTACAAAACATCTATCTTTGTTATTCAGTTAATTGCTGCTATGTCTATTTATGTAAATCAAAACATGAAAAAACATCTTAAGATAGTGTTTAACCTACTTAGCTAAAAATGTGCCAAATCTTTATCAGCCTTCAGTAACCTAACACTCTGTACATGAACTGGACAACACCTGTTACATATATGTAGCATAGTTGACTATGTTGTGGAGGGGATGAGACTTCACCTAGAGACTTTCATGCTGTGGGAGTCTGATATACTGTCAGGCTAAAAAGCTACCTGGACACAGTAAACACTGAACTCAAAAGGAATGCCTTCTCATCAATGGTGCCCTTAACAAAATATGAGAAATGAGTTTAATTTTGTATTGGTTTCAAAGTTTTTCCTTCACATTTTGTCATAAAATAATTTAATGAATAATCTGGCAGTAAATTTGTATTTGATTTAACTGTTGAGTACACTAGAAGTGCCTTGCTCTTCTTATGCTGATGTAACTAAAGGCCTATTTAGCCCAGTATACTGTTTTTATAGTTGCTGGGAAGCCAACAAGTCCCACAGCAACTAGCAGTAAGGACAGAACAAAGTGACATTTATACAGTCTTATTCCAAGTATATTTCCTATATAATTCACCTCCTGCTATTCTGAAGTTTGCTTTTACTCCAGAAAACAGCATGAAGATCACAGTCATATTAGAAAACTGATATATAAAACAGCATCACATCCAATGGGATACAAACCTACTTGACAATATCTACTGGGGATACAGAGTACAGTATATACTAATAAAACTACACTGCATCCCACTAATTATATGCCAGCATACTCAGCTAGCAGTCAGCAGCAGTCAGACCAAAATGTGATCACCACAACTGGAATGTTAATTCTAGCTGAAAATATAGGCACTTCTAGTAATAAACCGCTACTGAAAAGGCAGTTAGTTCCACAATACTAATTTTTGATTAGACTGACTAGCCTTATATCTTCCATGGAGAACTTCTACTCCCAGCTATCATTAGAGCAGTTTCCTCCTTTTTGAAATGAGAAAACTGGAGGCTGATGTACAGGTAATGGAAGTGGATGGTGTTACTGTGCTCATGTCCTGTCCATGATCTTCCCATAGCCTACTCACTGGCCACTTGGGTGGGGTAGAAACTTGAAAAAACCCTACTAAGATTCTTATGTTTAGATTCTTTTTTCTCTCACTCCAAATACTATATTTTATTAATGTTAATAAATTAATACAAAGTCTAAAGTTGTAAGAGAAACACTTGTAAGAACATTCCATTCAAAAGGGGTATTTCAAGAATACACATTAAATGCAAAACCTACAGTTAGATCTTCAGAGATGCAAGCAGCAACCCTTTGATATATAGCCCATATTTCAAAACACCTTCTGAACCATACATACTCAAGTTCAGGAAAGGATTTATTCCAGTTGAGACTACAATTTCAATCCAATTTCCATCAAAAGTTAAGTGACAATTTAAACTGTATTGTTATTACAATCATAGGTCAGCCATGTGAGATACAGTATACAAAACTAAAATACACAGCATACCCATACAGTACTTACAAACAATATAGAGCAAACTAAAATCCAAATTGCAGTTAAGGGTACATTTCTAATCTGATTACAGCAATGATTTACTCATATTTTCTTATTATACAAGCTGCTGCACAGAATTTTGCAACCTTAGCTGTTATTTCCCTTGAGAAATCAGAGAGGAGAAAAGAGATGCAAAGTTTATTGGGTCTACCTGGATAATGTTTTAAAATTGAGGAAATAAATTGTGTGAATCTTTATCAAATGTGCAATACAGCAGGACATGTTCCATGGTTTCCACCATACAGATAGGCAAAGGAATTGACTGTAAGGCATAGATATCTTTCATCTAGAATGGCTGATGGCAGAACATTGAAATGGGCCAGGGTGAAAGCTTTCCAATGACTCGCAAGTTCTAAATTGTAAAGGAGTCTGCTAGGATGAAGGTCATCCTATGATTCCCAGCCACCGAGCAATATTGGTCCCATGTTCTGTCAAGTCACAGGGCTATATCGCAGATCTGCTTTGTAATATTTTCTTGGGTTTTTGTAAATCCCAAATGTAACAAAGCTGGATGGAATTTTCCCTCCACTCCCCTTGCCCAGCCCAAGGGGTGGCTATCTACCAGAGGTACTAAGCTAACAGGATTGAGTTTTAACTTCGGCCAAAGATTATTTGAAGCCATACACTTGCTTCTCATGGGACCATTCCAGCTTCAAATCTGAGTAGGGCATTAGGGATACAGAGCAGTACATCAAGTATAGTTCTTAGGAATTCAGTCTGTACTGCCTCAACAGGGTTGAAGTCTTTATGTATGCATAAGCCTGAACCGTACAGATGCTGGGACAATACCTTCCCTTCAAAGACTTTTAGTACAGATGGTATATCGAAGCCTCCTTTTGAAAAGAAGACTCTCAAGATGGCAATGATAGTTCTTTGAACATTTTCAGTGACATGGGGGTTTTAGCTCTCCACAACCCAGCTGTCTGAAAGACTACACCTACGTATTTATAGGTCTTGACCTGTTCAATATTCTTTATTCTTTATTTAGTTGTCATTTAATATTGAACAGGCATTTATCTCTGTAAATTCTACAGTGCAGTCCTATCCACTCCTACTCAGATATCAGCTCCCTACTGAATGTAATGGAATTTAATTCTCAATAAATCTGAATATAATTAATCCAAAAAAGAATGAAAAGACGAAAGTAATGGCCAACCTAAATCCCATTGATTTAAAATAATTAAAAAACACTGTAGAATTTACAGAGATAAATGCCTGAATAGCACAGGAAGGCCACTTAGAGTATCTAACTTACCAGAATATAACTAACAAGTCAGATCACATTTAATTGTATATTGTCCATTTATTTATTTCATA